GAAAAGAGCGTGGCCCCATCCTCCTGACACCCACCCTTCAGATATTTATAAGCATTTATAAGGTCCCCTCACAGCCTTCTCTTCTTCAGGCTGAACAAGCCCAGCTCCCTCAGCCTCTCCTCGTAGGAGAGACGTTCCAGTCCCCTCATCATCCTTGTAGCCCTCCGCTGGACTCTCTCCAGTAGCTCTTCATCTTTCTTGAACTGGGGAGCCCAGAACTGGACAGAGTACTCCAGATGGGGCCTCACTAGGGCAGTGTAGAGGGGAAGGAGAACCTCCCTTGTCCTGCTGGCCACACTCTTCTTGATGCACCCCAGAAAAAAACCAGTTAGTGCGCTAGGATCTGTGACTTCCTTCTGCCTTGCAGGAGCTGGGGGTTTCCACAGCAGCAGCAACCTCCCTCCCAGGGCTGGGGGTGCCCAAAGCCCCCAAATATCCTTCATCCATCACCCAACTTTGGCTTCTGCATTTTTTCCTGCCACTGCTCCTCAGACTTTTATCCTCCTGCCAGCACGGCAAAAGCTCTCTTCTCTTCCTCATTTTAGGTTAACATCCAGCCCCTGAATGCTACAGCCCACCTCCTTCCATAATACCATTACCTATAACAGGGTATATAGGGAGCAAAGAGGCACTGAAGACAATTCTGCGCTTGTGTCTATAGCCTGAAGTGAGTAATTTCATCCGTCTCTGCCCCAGTTTCTACAGCAGTAAAATAAGCATGATGTTACTTAACTGTCTTTCCAAGTACTTGGTGGATAAGAAGCAGTGTGTAAAAAGTACACGGCACTACTGTGTACAGTGTGCAAGGAATTAAATGTCTGTGATTGGTGTTATAGCTCCTCAAGAGACTGCTCTGGGTCCAGCAGTTGGCCTCTGACTTGGTAGGAACGGTTGGTGGGATTTAAAAAAGACAGACACATAAACACATTTTTACTGAAGATGTAGGTCCTGGCCTGCCTAATGTTCTTTGACACTGCACAGACATAACGGGGAAACTAAAACATTTGTTGATGGATTCGGAGATTAAATAAATAGTGAAATATCTTCAGGATGTTAAAATGCAGAAACAACTGCCGATCCCATAATAAACCAACCCTCCCCCAGCACTTCTTGAAATGTGAGTATTTCCACAAAAGCAGGCACTGTGCTCGTTCATAGGGCCATATTTTTAGCAGGTCAGAGCAGTCAGACATTTTCTGGGCATTGGTAAAAATACACCCAACAGCTCCGTGGCATTTCGTGCAACTGACTGTCTGAAAGTCTCTACTGGAAGTTTATTATTTGTTAATCTCCTTTTTCAAATGTGTTTTGATCATGCAGCCAGAAAGCCACATGGTGGATCACAAAACACAATTAAAATATAGCAACTGATGAATATTAGTCCCCCTGAAAACAGAGCAAGTCGAGTGGTTTGTTCAGACTGTGCAGACAAATGTATCCTCGGGAATCACAATGGACTTGCGGGAGGATTTACTTGCCGGGAAGAGAAATGCAGTCTGAGACATATGATGGTACCTTGCCTCAGGGTACCAAAAGCCTCTAGTTCTCAGATGTGATGAGTACCACAGCATCACTTAAAGACAATGAGAAATGGAGTTTCTCAGCATTTCTGAAAGTCAAATCCAGCTTGGAGAGCAAGAACAAAGGAAAGAATTTTGATTGTTTTAACCTGTTTTGCAACAACTGCTGCTCAGAGTAGCAGTGTGCCCAGGTGGCCAAGAAGGCCAACGGCATCCTGGCTTGGATCAGGAACAGTGTGGGCAGCAGGAGCAGGGAGGGGATCGTGCCCCTGTACTCAGCACTGGTGAGGCCCCTCCTTGAGTGCTGTGTTCAGTTTTGGGCCCCTCACTACAAGAAGGACATTGAGGGGCTGGAGGGTGTCCAGAGAAGGGCAAGGAGACTGGTGAGGGGTCTAGAGAACAAGCCCTGTGAGGACTGGTGGAGGGAACTGGGATTGTTTAGTCTGGAGAAGAGGAGGCTGAGGGGAGACCTTATCACTTTCTACAACTACCTGAAAGGGGGTTGTAGTGAGGCAGGTGTTGGTCTCTTCTCCCAAGTAATTAGCGACAGGACGAGAGGAAATGACCTCAAGTTGCATCAGGGGAGGTTCAGATTGGATATTGGGAATAATTTCTTTCCTGAAAGAGTGGTCAGACATTGGACCAGGCTGCCCAGGGAGGGAGTTGGTGCCCCATCCCTGGAGGTGTTCAAAAAGCATGTAGACGTGGCACTTCAGGACACAGATTAGTAGGCGTGGTGGTGTTGGGTTGGCGGTTGGACTTATGATCTTAGAGGTCTTTTCCAACCTTAATGATTCTATGATTTTTCTATGGTTCTATCTCCATGCTGGCAACTCAAAGAAAAAAAACATAAAGTATACTTTTTGGAGTGTGAAAAAGTTTTGCTTAATTTTACAAAGTTGACTGATGTTTGTATTTAGGGCTTTCTTGGTTCTGGTACCATGCAGAGGTCCTACAGCTGATATGCTTTGCTCTGAAGATACAGTAGCAACAGGGGTTAATATATAGCAACAACAAAAAATAGCATGGTTAAGAGCTTATTTGCTCATCTAAATAATAAACAGTGGAAGAAGCCTCTGTCTCTGGGAAGTGATTAAATCATCAGGCTTTCTATCCAAGCAATATTCTGCTAAACTTCCCTGTCAGCATTTAAATTGGAGGATATTGGCTACTGGAGGAAATGCTATGAGGACTATTACACTTAAGTGCAGAGTTAGCTATCAGTTCATGCTGGCCACTAATAACACCGCTGCTGATGGCTCTCTGTGGCGATGAGCTGAGATGCCTTTTCCAAGCAAACCTCCACCCGGCAGCAACTCTCCTCGTACCTGACCCACTATTTTGGGTCCTCTCCAAAGAACTGGAAGCTCATGGGTATTGACAAATAAAGTCACTTTATTTTACTGAGCCTTTGCAGATGTTCGCTGGTTCAATCTGAATAAAAGGCAACTATTTAAGTCTACCCTGCCCAGTGAGTGTCAGGCTGCATTGATGCTCATTTGAATGGGGAGGGAGGTGCCTTTGCTGGTCCCATTTCCCTGGTGACTCTAAAAAAGGGAGATAATGTGCCAGGAACATGATATAATGCCATGGGGGATGGCTGAAGACACGTGTGTGTTGTAATTGAAAAAACAGCACTTGTGCTGGTGTTCAGTGCTTGCAACAGAGTAAATCTGTTAAAAGACCACCAGTCCCGGGAGTTATCACAGGCAGCAGCATCCTCTGATGGATGGTGCGTAGGCTGGGATGGGTTATTCGTAATCAGAATCTACACACATCTAAAAACCAAATCCTTAGCTTTTGAGGATGGTTTTACATGGGTGGAGGGTAAAAAGAAGGTTCAGCATTGAGCCCTCTTGCTTCCCCCTCCCCTTTCAAAGGCCCATGTGAGCTAATTTTCTTCAGGTTCAGGCTCCTAAAACAAGCTGCAGAGAGCGGATGGGCAAACCCACGTCACAGGCAGCCTCTGCACAGGCTGACCTGCAGGTTCACACCAGCCAAGGCCAAGCGCAGCCCAGGGAGGGCGGCTTGGCTCACATGGAGCCATCACTGTGGTACCTTTCAAGGGGGTTTCAAAGCTGTGCCCTGGGGTCATCAGGGCAATCAGTGCGACGAGGGGTCCTTCTGGGTAGCAGGTTTGTGTTTTTGGCTGTAGGCATCTTTTAGGAAAAACAAATACTTAAAATAAACATGCCACCCATGCCTGCT